GTTTCTGCCATTCGGAAAGGAAAATTTGCGAATTTTAAAAGAAAAAATGTATTTGGGGCGACGGTAGATGGCAGTTGGCTAAAGAATGTGATAAGCTGCAGAAAAGCTAGCCCAGACCAAAGAAATTAGAAAACTAACTAGTAGGAGAACGTCTGTGCCATTGGCAGCACCACTAGTTACTTTCACGTATACGTATGTGAAGTAATATACTTGAGTTAAAGTTATGTAAAGCTGCGAAAAATCGATTTTGAGATTTCGATAAAAAAACAGGTTTTGGAGTTTCCTGATACCGAGAAAGTTGTTGTAGTCGTAGTTTTGTGGTTGTTGTTTATTGAACCCAAAATTTTTCTGTGAATTTTTTGAAAGAATAAAATAAAATTCACTTATAAAAATGGTGTAACTCTGATTTCACTGTTAACTCTCAATTTTCGAAAATTGCAAAAGTTTGAATATTTTCCGACGTCCTCCTACAACTACAGAATTGAAGATAGATATTTTTACTTCAACATTTTTCCCCCATAATTATTTCTTACATTAAGGCCATGTACATTAAAAAATTAGTAGTTTTCGGTAATTTTACGTGCAATACGTGCAATATTTAAAATAACAAAAACAAGCTTTCTCGAAGACGGCTCCAAATATTTTCTTTCAACTTTGGTATGTCTTTTTAGGGATTTTCTACAACACAAAATTGAAGATATTTTTCCTTCAAATAAAATGTGTTCTCCATAATTAGTTATTTCATTAAGGTCCTGCACATTTTTTGAAAATTTTAGTAGTTTTCGCGTAATATGGCGTGAAATATGTGCAGTATTAAAAAACAGAATTTCTCAATAACTGCTTTTTTTGTTTCTTTGTTTCGTGAATGATCGAAATTCATAAATTTGAATTTTCAACGCTCTATTTTACTAGTCTTTCACGAAATATCAGATTGCTGTAAAGGTAAATGTAGTAATATGAGCCATGTAGATAATATGTGCCGCCTAGTGTCTGTTCATACATTGCACACTTTAACGGGAACAATTTAAAACACTTGTTAAGTAACCCCTTTTACCATCATAACCCTGTGGTTCAGTTGTGAATGACAGTTAATGTGTAAAAGAGGTGTTCGTGTTTTATCGATTCAGAAAACTTTGAATGATACGTCTGTTGCTTTTAATTACAGTTTGAATTCTCTTAGACCAGTTCTAATTCTTAACGAATAAAATACAATATGTTTTTAATTTTTTTTCTGTCATTTGTAATTTCGAACGTAATAAAGGCCGGTTTTGATTTGCAGAATTTTAATATGGCGATGGATGAAAAATGAGCCCCGAACTGTGCTGGGAATATGAGCCCCAAACTTTAAGGGGCTCATTTTACACACACTACAACTTGGTTCGTATTATTTTTGTTACGAAAAGTTCTAACCAAAAAATCAAACAAAACAATGGGAAAAACTGGAATACTGAAGCCATTGTTATGGCCATTGAGGCAGTTAGGAGCAAGGAAATGAGTTTGAAAAAGGGTTCCAAGCGTTTCTCGTTAAATGACCTACTCTTCAAAGGTTTGTTCGTGTTGACAACCTTCGGAAGAGCAGCTGTAACTAAATTAGGAAGAAAACATACATTGATGCGCTAGAGAAAGAGTAAGTCGACTATTTGCCTATCAAGGCAAGTAAATTATATGGTCTCTCCAGATAAGATGTTCGCAGGGTAGAGTACCGACTTTTTGAAACTCTTATGGAGGCTGGAGAAAAATAATTATGCCTGCAGATTAAAAGAATAATAATAATTGAAAGCACAAACCAGAATGGTAAGGAAAACAAAACCGCACATGAGCAAGTTTTCAAACGGAAACTTCTTGAATCAGACTATTCCGCCAATTCAAGAGTCTCTGATTTGGAAACACTAGTGTGAGTTTAAAGTCCTTCTGATGTACAAAAGGCTAATAATACAGCAACTCTGAAAGTTCAATGTGATGTTGCCATTCTTTAAAAAAAATTGTTGCGTTCACATAGACGCGTCTTCAAGCCCAGTGGGAGGCGTTGAGCGCTTTGCTCTAATGGAGTAATCCTCCATTAATTTAGTGCGCTTATTAGGAGTAATCCTCCATTACTAGTATGGCATGTCACGTCTCGTCGTAGTCAGCTGTCAAAAGGACCGGCAGGTAGCATCGCGTACGCGCCTCCTACCAGGCGCCACTACGTCACTACCCAGCGGCCCAGAATTAGGAACAAATTAGGACACTTCACAGGGGTTGGATTAGTTCTTGTGAAGCAGCCAAACTCATTTTGTTGGAACAAATTTCACATGAGGTTGTCCAGAAATCAAACCAGGACCTCCTTGGGTGAAAGGTGAGCGACGTCACTTTTGAGCCACGAGATGACTGACTATACATATTACTGCACACTTGGCACTACCTTCATGCCAGATCAATGAAATCTCAAAACGTTAACATTTACCGAGAGGCGATGATATCATGTTTATAACCTTAGCCACAACCGAACCTATCGTCTCCGCTATTTCGTGCAGGTCAGATGAAGAGCAACGCTGAACCCTGGCTGTGAGAAAGTAAACAAATACTCGCAAGCTGATTGCTTCAGACCAGGTCGCATGACGTCGATCACGTGGCGAGAGAACTGTCAGAGAACTATAGTTCGTTTTCTGATGGATTATTTTCAGCAGACCATTGTGAGTCCAATGCATTATGTGTGAAATGTGGGCGCACAATGGCCGCTAGGGCCGAAAAGGACAGTTTCATTTGTGATTTTTTTAAACATATTTTGTTATTTTCCAACTTTTTGTAATAAAATATCATTTTAATATATAAATATATAATTATGCTCTTTAAACTCATGTATTCATTAATATATTAAGGCGGCTCATTATACCAGCACCTAACTTCTTTCCTGAAATATCACTTACCTATTTTGAACTATTGATTTTTTCTGAACAGTTAAGAAAGTTAATATTTTTATATAGTTTACACAAATGTTGAAGTTAAGTTATTATATTTTTATAACATATTTAATTAATTAATTTTTTGTCAAAATAAAAGTGAGGGCTCATATTACCACCTTCTCCTTGCCACGTCGTGCCGCGCATCGAGAGTTCGAAGTTCTGAGAATCCTTTCTCATTGTTGGGAGATGTTAATGGCTGGATGAAATGCAATTTTAATTATTCAGTTTTTACTGATATTAGCTTTAAAAGAATTAGTTTCCTGTCTAATCTTCTATGATTTGTAATGAGTTATACAAGTGATGATTGAGATGAGTTAATATGGACAGAAATTACTGTCACGCGCGAGAAAGTATGTGTTGTTTTAGCAGCACTAGTTTTCTTCAAATTTCTTACTAGAATGTACACTTACGAAGATTTTGACCGTTTACGCTGACGACAGTAATTATCAATTCGCATCTCACTACAAGGGACGTTTGGTCGTCAATCGATTTTCTTGTATCAAGGACCGACATAACATTAATTCTGAATACACAACGTATTAAAGGAACAAGATTTATCCACTTTTTACGTTCTCGTCTTACTTCGTAAGAAGACAAAATATTGTAATCTTGGGCCGGAAATCGGCGGGTTTTCGACAGAAAAATTCTTTTTGCCTGACCCTGGTAACGAAATTGTAGATAAATCTTATCCTACATGTAGTAAATTATTCCCTCTTAACACGCCGTGTTGTGAGAAACCATGTATTGTGGGTCCTTGATACCGATAAATCAATTGACGGCAAAACGTCTTTCGTCAAAATAATTTCTTTCTCTTCAACACTAGCGCCTAAACCGTTCAGACAGTTTTCTCCAAATTTATAATTCAATTTTATCGAACTCAAGTTTCTGAGAGTTTAAAATGGGTATTTTAATTTTGGGGAGTAATTTACATAAAGCTTCAACATTTGAAAAATGTCAAAAAAATGGCTTTAAATGTTTTTACCATTGTCCTCGGATAATGTAAAGAACTCTTGAAAGAATGACGCAGGTCTCTTTTTCATTGAAATTCCTGGTTTTTCAATAATTCATTTGATAGTTCAAATGCTTTTCGGTGTTTTCCTATTGCTACAATATTGAAGAATGAAGATAGATATTTTCGTCTTAAATGAAATACTGTTCTAAAAAATCAGACCCTAAAAAAGGTCAGATGCATTTTTTTTAAACAAGTAGTTTTCGCATAATTTCGGATTGGAATTTATTCAATTATAAAAAATATTGTCATTAGCAGTTCAAACTGTTTTCTTTCATTTTTTCCCACTGATAGGACGCTTAAAAATGGTTCAGATCTCATTATAATTGAACTCTAAATTTTCGAAAATTACAAAAGTTAGAAATAACGCGAGAAAGCATGTACTTGTAGCACTTTTTATGCCAGTGCTCTGCAACAATAGTTTTGCTGTCGAAAAATCACAATTTCCTGTGCACGATTACAATAATTTATTCCTCTTCCAACGAAGTAAGAAAGTATTGGAGTAATGTTTCATAGGAATGAAATATGTAATAAAAAGTGCCATTAAACCTCAATTCGGGTTCGTTTTGATACACTGTAGGTCAAGGATTTATTAAATCAGGGGTTTCATCTCGTTAATCAATGACATATTGTTGTCAATTTTTTCTTAATGATAAATGTATCGCACGAAGTATTGTGTGTAGTGCTATCCGTTATATCTAGTTAATTTTAGAATTTCTGGCATTTCAAGACTGCATAGTTTAATATATTCCTAAAATTTAGACCGTATACACAGATTGACACAGATCCTCATGACCGACCTCAGCGGACCCGAGAACTGTCTTTTTCTCCCAAGGTAGCCAACAGTAAAAGTGAGACGATTGTTAGTTTCATTGTGTTAAACAAAAAATAGATGGAAAATAACTTCTTATACAAGTCATTTAGATATTTTTAAATGGATACACATATCTTAACCACTTATAAACACGATTCACCCAAAAGAAATTGTTACTTCTTGGGTACGTATGTACATCTGACGTGTACCGTCTTGGCGTCTCAGGGCGCATGCGCTTTGCAGCCTTACGTGGCAAACCCAGCTGGGATGAAGCTCGGTCAGTGTTGAGTGTTAGAATGTTGTTTTGAAATTACGTGATTATACACGAAATAAGAGTAAGTGGAAGCTGCAGAAATAAAATACAATATTTAAAAAAGAGCATTTATTACTTAATTGATCATTCACCGCGTTAAATCAATAGTGGAGCATATTGTCATAAGGAATTCGTGACATATTAAGATGTGTAGTATTTATAGTGCTATGGATATATAATGCTTTTAAATTATTGTATGAAGAAATTACTTTAATTTTGTAATCGGCTTAAAGCCGTTTGTTAGTTAAATTGGAGGTAAAATAGCGTTATTGAAAACGTACTTCACATTTGCTATGTGTGTCAATAGTGAACATGCAACAACTTACCCTGTAGAATTATACACCAATGTTCAAGATGACCTTAATGACTGTAACATATGTAATCCGATAATCATATCACATTCTAATAATGATTTACCTCTAGGTTATATATCAATGAGTTGCTGTCTCATTACTCATATAGCATTTTTTTTCATGTGTACCCTAACTGAAGATCAGCATTGAAAGAACTGTGCTGTGTATTTTAACGTTAATTATTTTTACACTTTCATATAATTTTTAAAGGTTTATTATTCCATGTAGTTGTAGTTGTACTTTTTTAACCATAACAGCTGTGCATTTTTTTCAGTTCTGTATTATTGAACATGAATTCCCAGTATATACCACAGCAACCTCCTCAATATGGAGCTTCACCAGGATCAGGGTTTGGGCCCCCTCAAGGTGGATATGCTCCTCAGGGACCCAACAAACCAGCCCCAAATCAAAGTGGTTTTCAACAGCCACCACAAATGGCTGGGCTACAGAGAGGGGGCCCTCCTCCAGGACTGGTGCGAGGAAATCTTCCTCCTTCTGGTTCTCCTAATATTTCTCATTCTGTGCCAAATGGGCCTTCTCATGGACCTCCAAATGTTCAAGGTGAGTTTTAAGTTGTGTGTTTCTAGATTCCTCTGATTTGAAACATTATTCCATTATTAAAATAATTTATTCTTTAGAAAAAATGAAAAAATAAATAAAAAATAAATGGATGCATAAATGTAAATCAGAATATTGAACTTTACTAGTTTATATTTAGTTTCTTTGTGTTTAATATTTAACTATCTAAATTTTTTATAAAATTTGAAAAACTATTAGAACTTTTAAAAGTTTAAAACATTTTTCATACAACTTAGAGGTTTTAATTATAGTATTATCTTCTAATTTTTAATACACCAAAATATCTGTTTGTATGAAGATTTGTTTTACCATTCTTATCTTGTGACATTCCTGTTAGGTAATGATCAAAATCACGGTTTATCAGACTTTTATGAATTAAAATTCTATAAATGTAAACTCCTTGTTTATCTTACAATTTAATATTATCTCTCGATTACACCCTCTTGTTTCATTATTCTTTTACTTTGCTAAATGGAAGGATTGGCAACTTGTCACATTATGTGTATAAATAAAATCCATATGCTTTGGAACAGCATTACAAATTGATAGCATGTATTTACACCAGTTGCTTTAAGACTAGATATATGTAACAATTTTTATACCCTTGTAGAACATTATTAGTGGTAATTTTTGTAGCTTTATTTTCCCATGTGCACCATGATTATGCAAACAGTGTCCACATTGACAAAAATGTGATGTTTAGTTATTTTTTAAATAAAATTCAAGTTACAAAGTATTTGAAAAATCAGACGTTTAGGAGCATTTCATGGCCAACAATGTGGGAAGAGGAGTCCAAACAGGATATTGAAATTATATTTCCAAAAAGTATGTATAAATAAAATCATATTTGTCATGTCATACATGTGACATGTCATACATGTCAAAATATTTCATTAGGGATTATTTGTAAACAAAAAAATAATTTTGTTTAATGCATATTTGTATCTTCTATTTTTTTAATCACCTAGTGTAAAAAAACAACACAAAAACCACACCATGTTTTACTGAAAAAATACATATTTAAAAACCAGATTACTTGTTTTTTCAAAATTGAATCTAAATTTGGTTAGGATACTATTGCTCAAATGTGATTGACTCTTGTATAGGGTCAAGAATAAGAACATTGTAGTTCATTCTATGGTCATTTAATAAATTGAATTCTCTGTGTGAATAGAGTTGTTCTTAAAACTAATTTCAGTAATTTGGGAAATAAATATGTATACATCTCTTGGTGTAGCTTGTTGTGCATTGATTTTAATATCTTCCTATTAATGTTTAATTCTAATAATACTTTCTAGGACCTCACATGCAAGGAATGCCAAATCAAAGGGCACTTGCAAATCCAGGTTTTGGACCAGCAAATTACCACGGTCCAGGAGGTCCCCCAATGGGTCATCCTGGCCCTCCATCGCAGCCTCCACCATCAGGCCCTCCACCCATGCAGCCACATCCAGGAAGTGGACCTGGAGCACCTCCATCACCAAGCCTCAACCAGATGACTGCTCAGATGGCAGGAATGAATATTGGTGGACCTCCAAGAGTGCCTACATCAAATTCAGTGAGTTGCAATATATCTATTCTTCAAAATGTTTTTAAAAAATTTGTAAAATATTAGTTTTTTCATATGTTGGGAACTGCAATAAGATAGAAGAGAATAATAGATTTGTTTGTAAGATAGTTTGTGGTTTTGTTTCTGTTTGTAAAAGAGTTGAATGAATTGAGAAGATAATGTAATGATCATGGTTTTCATCTTATTTTTTCAGGGTTTACCTAATGTTCCAAACAAAGCTGGAATGACTCCACCAGCAAGCAGTCTTTCCAATAATTACCCTGGTGCTATAAATGGAGGTCCTCCACCTGCTCAGGGTCCACCAGCAGAGAGACTCCCTGGGAAGCAATATGTAAATGGTTCAATGGGTCCTCCCCCCATCTCTGGAGGGGGGCCTATGCCCCCTCACATGGCTCCTCACGGTGGACCACCTCATGGAATGGGACCTTCCCCACATTTTGGTGGTCCTCCTCAGCCTGGTGGCATGCCATCGCTATCACAAGGTGGTATGCCTCCACCACCTGGTGGCATGATGCCACCACAGAATAACTTGCCGCCTCATCCTGAAGGCATGCCTCCCCCACGAGGTGGAATGCCTCCGCAAGGTGGCATGCCTCCACAAGGTGGAATGCCTCCGCAAGGTGGCATGCCTCCACAAGGTGTAATGCCTCCGCAAGGTGGCATGCCTCCGCAAGGTGCCATGCCTCCGCAAGGTGGCATGCCTTCACATGGAAGCATGCCCCCTCCACCAGGGACCATGGGTGGAATGCCTTCACATGGTGGACCTCTTCAGGGCAACATGCCTCCACCAGGAAGAATGCCTTATCCCCAACCTGGCGTACCCCCGCCTGTGGTATGCAACTTACCTGTACGATCATTTTACATAGAATCATCGGTATTTTTTAATTTCATGGTGGATGGACATTTTTAATCAATTTTAACTCTTTAAGTATGGAAGTAAGGCTTCCATTCTAGAATTAAGTGATCGCAACCTGTATTTATTGCAAATTATGATTAGTAATGGCAGTGTTACAATGTACAATTGTTTATACTTATTTAATTACAAAAGTCTGTTGAAAAAAAAAAGTTATTTGTCTTGTGTAAATAGTTATCTAAATTTTATGTTAGTATAATACAAGTTAATATATAAAAAGGGAGAATTTTTTATATTAGTTTTACTCGTTTGGTAAAACATCATAATAAAAACTTTACCCCTTTTGAATCATTTGGCAGTATCGTACCAATACTTTCTTGTTCAAAATTGATATTTCATTATGATCTAATCAAAGCAATTTATTTTTATATGATTTGTGCTTAATTAACATATTACGCTATTTGATTAACTCCAGCCTTCACTGTAACTACTAATATTCTGTGAAATAACATTGAAAGAATACATGACTGTTACTTTTAAGGCAACTATTATTTTAATTTTTTTCTTTCAGGATACATACCAGGGCAGCATGAGTGGACCTACCAGTGGTCCATATGGCTCACAACAGAATATGGGCTCAGCTCAAGTGCAAGGTCATAATTATTCTCAACCACCACAGTCACATCCCAGTATGCAATCTCAACAAGCAAGGAGGCTAGATCCTGACCAGATGCCTAGTCCTGTAAGTGTCAGTTTAACTTATTAATATGTTTAAAATTCAGAAATATAGTGGGTGAAATTTAAATTTTATGTATTTATTACTGTTTTTCTTGTATAGATCCAAGTTATGCAAGATGACCAGAGAAATAGGTCAGGCATTTTTTACACAAATCAAAAGGGACAAGTTCCTCCACTGGTCACTACCAATTTTGTTACTCAGGATCAAGGAAATGCTGGGCCCCATTATATACGAAGCACGATGTACAATATTCCTGCTACTATTGACATGATGAAACAGGTAATATTTTTTAAAACCTAAAGTTTTGGTATTTTCGATACCAGTGTCTTTAGCTTTACTTTTATGTAGAAGAATTGAAATCCTGAAATCTACAAATTTCCAAAACGCTTATTTTTTTTTTTTTTTATATATGATAATTATATTGCTTAGTAAGTGCAATATTGACCTGAATGAGCTGAAGATTTTTTCTAAATATCTCATTTGAGAAATAAGGGGTCATTTTGTATTCACAGATTAAGCCTAAATGGTTGAAAAGTATATTTTTACTTTACCTTTTCATGTCTAGGAACTTGAATGCTTCCTTAAAAACATTCTGTAAAGGCAATATAAACCCTTCATACCTATAATATGTAATATTAGCAGTAATATTCTGAATAACCACCAGGGAGTCGCCTGGTGATTCAGATCAATATTTTTGAATTGGCTCTTAAAGAGAGAATCTTAAATGCAGTGAAACTTTGTTTAAATATTTCGCTCTTGTATATTTTTCATATTTTTACATTGTTTTCTGTAAGTCACAGATCAATTCCTATACTTCTCATGATAAATTATTTCAGATATATATTTCACTTTTATACTTTTTTCTAATTTATACATTAATAATGAAAGTCCGAACAGTAATGACATTGGTGACCAATAAGTGAGAACATTTAAGTTATCATAGAGGATTCCAGAGGATTTTTGTGTTGAATTCAGTATTCAGATATTTTAATATCATCATTAGATAGGGCATTTCAACTCTCCATTTTGGAATTTTGATCAAAACACAGGATGAAAAAAAAAAGGGTTCTAGTGTAGTGAGGTGCAACTTTGCATATTGTTCTTCAATATTGCAAGATAAAAATTTGGTGCAATTAAAGGAATTCTCATAATTCGAGAAGCTTCTTCACTAGAGCATTGCTTTGACGTGCGTCACCAAACGTTGATGACGTCATATGTGTCAATGTCATGTCCAATGAGAAAGATTTGTTGGCCATGCATATATGCCTGTGCACACGAGTCACTTAACGTGCATGATAGATTTACACTATCTTCTGTGAAACAACACACAAGTGCTCTTGGAGGCGTGCTCTTGCCAATGCGTATTGCCTAGCAGTCATTGTGTGTTGAAAGGTAGAAAATACGTGTTTCATGTCTTACAGTAGCTTAAGCTGTGGGCACAATGCAAGTCACCAAGGCCATTACTGTGCTGTTTTGCATAAGGTACAGAAAGCATAAAGATACACATTAAGCGACTCACGTACGCAGGAATTCTCACGTTTTGATGCAGCTGTCATTAGCATTCATCAAAATGAATAAAAATCAGTGATGACATTTTGTTACACAATCAAGAAGGCCATGCAGACTGTTCAATTGTTGAAGAGTGCATATACTCTTTAGAGAAATGATTTGAAATTTATTCACCTTCATTAACTTTCTACAACTAACAAATGAGTCAGAAAGATTTTAAAATTTATTTTGAAAAATTATCTAACCTTTGCTGCTCTCTCTCTCTCACACACGCTCTCTCCCTCTCCTCTTTCTCTTCTCTCTCCTCTCGCTCTCTCTCTCAACATTTTCAACATTCTAAAAGTTAGAAGACTACTAAGTGGGGGAGGACCACCAAAAAAGAAACAATGACATTTTTGAAATTAAAGATGGTAGGGATAAAAGTGATGATGATTATTGGTTTTTAAGGAATCAGATAATGCTGCCAAAATTAATTAATCTTATCAAGAGAATTTTGTGGTTTTAGTGACTGTTTGTGATTTTTTTATGACATATTATGTGACTGATTAGTAAGAATTTGTTATAATTGGGAAAAAATATTTTGTAGAACTATTCAAAATTAGGGGATCACCTTATATTTAGAGTCCTATATATCAGGTAAATATGGTATAAATCTGTATACTAGAATAGCATTTCTGTGTCAAAGAAGTGCAGAAACTTCTATGTGAAGATCTTTTACTCTCCTTTGTCTTAAGATTAGTATTATAGTAAAATAATGAACCCCATGATTTCTGATGTGCTTTTCATGAATAGTGATGTATTTCCTGAACATATGGTATCATCAACAACTATGTAATGATAATGCCACATGGGTGAAAAGAATCTTATTTATGTGTTTGCTTGTATAGTAGATCTTGTGATTTCTGTGATACATGAAAAAAATGTTTAATGTATTGAGCCTGTGATAATTATGAACGTTTAAATCTCATGAAGTTTCATAGGGCATGCCCTGTTTTCATCAAGTATCCACCAAAAAAGGTTTTCCAGAGCAATACCAGACTACTAGAAATGAGTTATGGCAATAATATAATCAGATAATTGTATCTAAAAAAAAAAAAAAAAAGTCTCTTATCTTACATTTATGACATTAGCGAAGCCTTAGTGAGGTCATAGCCCCTCAATATTAGTTGAAGTAATGTTAAGAGACTGTTTTGATTGCATTGAAAATCCAAGTTCGGCCTTTTTGTTGTCTAAAAATATTTTGACAACAAAACGTCTTGGAGAATGTCAGTTTTGGAGAAAATTGTCTGAACGGTTTATGTGCTAGTTTTGACCACGGACGGAATTCCACATTTTGCCATTTATTGATTTTTCTGTATCAAGGTCCCACAAAACTTGATTATGACCAAACAACATTTCTGAAATGTGTTGTGTAGTGATGAAATATACTATTTATAGGAAAAATAGTTATCCGTTTATTCTTTATCAAGCCTGGAATAAAAGTTTTTCTTTTGGAAATTCACCATTTTCCTGTGAAAGTTAACAATGCTTTCTCATCTTATGGCGGGTGAAAAATAGAAAAATCATTATTACAAAACTACAATGTTAATGATAGAGGTTTGTTGGAAATTGTTCTAAAAATTAGAGTTTTATAAAAGGTCACGTAGAATTTTTTGAAAAAACGAGTAGCTTTTGCATATTTTCTATTTGAAGTTAAGGAAATTATCACAAAGGCTTAATTTTTTTTCATGGGATAGTGCAATGGATGCTTGAAAGAAATGGTGCTGATTTTATTTGCATTGGCCACTTTCTATTTTCAAAAATTGCATGTTAGAAATAGTGCAAGAAAGTATATGATGTTATGATGTTTTAACACCACCTTCAGTCTTAAACCTTGCTGGAAGTGATTTCATAAAATTAAATGGATTTCTAAATAAGTTCCCTAAATGAGTATGTTTGGGTATCCGGATGCAGTGGTCTGTTTATCTTTCAATTATATTTATTTATCTTTTATTGTAAAATGTTTATTTGTTAATCATTCTTTCTGGAGAGGTAGTTTTGATTGGTTTTGAGAAAGTGATAGTGAATTAATGTACTCAGATTATGCTATTTTATTCTAGTATTTTCAGTTTACACTTGTTTTATTAATAAGTTTAATCATTGAATTATACTTGTCACATGTGATACAAAACATTGACAAATGGTATGAGACCTCTAGTAGTTGTAAAAGTGTAAAATTGAATGTTTCTTCATATTCTTTGGTGCAAGCCTGTCCATTAAGAAAGATCAGAATCCTAAATATGGCCCAGAGTTTTAGGATTTTATGTCATTGTAGGGATTTTGATTGAGTAATATAAGGTTGAACAATAATTGCAATAAATAACAATTTTTTTTTTCTCTTTTTCTTCTGATCTTTAGCACATAAAATTAGAAACAATATTTCAACTTTTTAAATGTTGTCATGAAAATTAGCATCCAAACCAACAATTCTTTCTTCTAGATGCACAGTTGCTGTGAACAACCATGTACAATCCTCAAATATCTTATGTAAGGACTTCTATTTGTCTCTCAATACATGATTGAAACTAGAAAAAGCTTGTTTCATGCAATATCAAATCAGTGATGCCATATTCATAGTTGTTTAGGCTTTTAGTCTGCTAAGTAATTCTCCAGCTATTTATTTTACTAGAAGAAATCCCTTTGTGTCTTTCAACTTTACTTAACCCTAGAACACCGAAGGTGGGTCCTTCAGACCCACCGCAGTACATTAATAGCATTTTTAGTAACTTATATCATGATTTTGAAACTACCACATTTTGTATTTCTCTGTCATGGTAGATTATGTGTAAATTATATAATATTTTATTACTACATTCTTTTTTCAAAGTACAAATGGCTTTATCTGAATTTATAACGTAAACGCCCATTGCAACAGTAATTCAGACACCATCTGTGTTTAGAGAATATCATTCATTTATTACAATTACAATTACAATATTTTTATTACATTTCACCTGATATTACTCTGTAATTGTTAAGTTTATATTCGTTTTTTGTTCAAAATATGGCAGTATGTAAATATTCTGTTTGTGTCAATTGGTGTTACTGATGTGAATAAAATGTGACTGGCATAATATTTTTCTTTGAAGTATTCAAACAAACATTACATCTCATTATTATTGTTATTAATATTGTTGTTATTATTATTATTATTATTAATATTATTACTACTACTACTATTATTATTATTATTATTATTATTATTATTATTATTATTATTATTATTATTATTATTATTATTTGTCATGTCTAAAAGAAAGCCAAATGAGATTGATATAACTAATCTTTTTGAAGAGGAAGAAAGCATGACTAATATCGACATAAGTGATGAGGACTCAGATTACATGCCTAATGACAGCAAACTGGATGACAGTGAGGAAGACTGACTAAGTGTAGCAAGTGAGGTACCGGACAAACAGGGACAAAATGATCTAGAGAATTCTTCTGTGTGTAATAATGGTGATTTTCATCGGTGAACGGCGATCAATTTGTAGCTAAAGATGATATGTGGTACAGCAGCAAGGAAAGATATTATGTGAACATAAAAACAAAGTTGAATGATTTGAAGTTACCTCCTATAAAGATGATAGAAACTCCAGAGCAAGCTTTTGATTTATATTTTTCGCAAGAAATATTGGACAAAATCATTAGCTACTCACATTTGGAAAAAGAAAGTTTACAAAGACAAAAATTTTTTGAGCGCATGACAACAGTAAGACATCATTGAAATTCAGGCATTTATTGAGTTATTGCTGACAGTAGGACACATGAAAATGAACCATACCAGTACTTGGAGTTTGTAGAATAACAAATATGGCTCAGCAATATTTCGAGTAACAAAGAGCCGTAAAAAATTCGAAGATCTGTTACTCTTTATGCATCATGATATGTCAATGAGAAGTGCTCATAGGAAAAAAAATGTTTGCTGCTTTTCATGAAATATGGGAACTCATTAGTAACAACCTTGGTGGGTCTTCCAGGATAAAATCTGACTGTGGAGAACACCTTTTGAGGATGCTGTAATTTTTGAGAATATATGAAATTAACACTGAATCAATATGGTATAAAATAATTCTGGATATCTAACACCAAAAAGTTCATGCTTTTGAAAGAGTTGCAATTCTCAGGTAAAGAAAGAAATATGAAAGGTACAAATATTAGCTTCTAGGTTGTAGAAAACCTTTATTCTATTCATGGCACCCATTGTCACTAATATAATTGATGACCCATTGTCACTGATATAATTGATAATTTTTTAACTTGAAAAGATTTAGCTCATCACTGGTTGGAAAATGGTCTGATGTTGGTGGGAATAGTACGCCAAAACAACTCACTTATTCCAAGGGAACGACAACAGCAGAGAAATTATAACCTCCCTCTTTGGCTTGACAAGAAATAATTTTTTAGTATTGTATCAAAGGCACGTGTTGCACCACACAGATCATATTGTTGTCAACGAAAACCTTAAGCCACAAATAATATTGCATTACAACAGCAAAAAAGGGGTTGTGTACTCACTTGATCTAATGATTCAAACTTACAGCTGCGAAAGGAAAACACAGAGATGACTACTGGCTATTTTTATGATTTCTATTGATTTAGTAGGTTTATTAGCATTTTCACTATTTTTCGGAAAGGAAAAAATGGGGTGCCACAATTTTCGTATTACCTTGTCAGAAATTATTGTACCACAAATAGAAAGAAGGTTGAAACAAGTACTCCATAAGACAATTTTTCAGTCAATGTTCAGCATTCTTTTTTAAACCAAAGCATCTTCAACTCTTTTATGGAACCAACAAAAAAGAATTGGTGTTATTTATGTAATCCACAATTGCGTAAAAAACATGAGGCTGTATGTGGTAAATGTATACAAAATGTAATAAAATTGTTTTATTCGCAAGAATGTGCAACAAATGTAATAACTGAATTTTAAAAGGAAAAAGACTGTCATAATGTTCAGAGAAGTGAGAATAGTTGTAAAAAAAATTGCCATGTATTGTAAAAAAGTAAGTGAAAAATGTATGGGCTTGTGAGACCACATTAAGTGTACATGTATGTCAGAAATGTTGGTTGTTCTAGTGATAACTAGTGTTAACCAGGATTATATTGAATTTTCACGAGCTTTGTTGAGTATACACCACCTACAGTCCCTAGTACTTCTTTCCATGAAGCAGCAGAAATGATGTTCATTACTTTGTATAGTAGAAAACATGACTTCAAAATATTTCAGGAGCTTATTAGTGATAATGTAGTTAGTAACAATAATGTCAGCAATATTTGACTTTGAGTCCAGGTCACAGTGAATAACGTTGCAGAGTTTTTAGAAATTCATCTTCTTTTAGAATTATAACCATTGTACAGAATTCACCATTGTACAGAATTCACATATTTTACTTCAAAAAGATTGAAACAGATATGTTTATTAAAATAATGGCTTTAAGAAGTGAAAATTAAAATAGTTTAAAACCTTGGATTCCATAAACCTTAGGGTTCAATTGAAATTAGAGACTTGTTTAATTATGGGAGATGGTTAAGTGGCTTAACCACAAGTGAGGACCCAGACACTTCTGAAAAGTGGGCCCTTTACATTATAATATAATGAAATTATTCTATAAAGTTCTTGTGGTTTATGTTTTTCCATAATTTTTACAGAAATTTTTTCTATTTCCTTAATGTTCTCAAAGTTAAAATGCCCTTGCTTTTGCACTTTTGATATTAAAATTTCTTGCCTGACATGTGGGTCTGTGCTGCATCTCACCGTCCAGTGTGGGAGAAACACTACCACCACCAAGGATAAAATGTTCTCTATACTAATGAGACTAATAACTATTTGTCTAGTTGTCATGCGAAACAATCAACCAATCAATCAAATTTTTTTTTTATTCAAAGCATATAAGTATAAATATCTTTCATGTTTTCTCATCTTACCATTGAATTCTTGTTCAGACAGCAGTGCCATTTGGATTGGTACTGTGTCCTCTTGCAAGAACAGCAGATGAGGAATATCCCCCACCAATAGTTGACATGGGTGAATTGGGTCCAGTTCGTTGCATTCGCTGTAAGGCTTACATGTGTCCTTTCATGCAGTTCATTGATGGTGGAAGAAGATTCCACTGTCTTTTCTGCAAAGCTACTACAGAAGGTAACTAAAATTATTTTTCTTATGTAATTAATATATTGTTACTATTCTTGTTCATCCAGTGCATATTTTTAGAAGAAGTTGAGGAAAATCTTTTAATTCACAAGACTGGGATTATATCATGTGGTGAAGAACTCCTTGCAGGAAAATTTATCATATCAAGTATCAAATAAGAATGATACATTTATTTAAAAGTATGTGAACTATATTTCAAAATTAATCAGAATAAGGAAATGTGTGATTAAAATTATTAACCTGGCATATTCTTATCCTTGTTACTTGACTTTAAAAATATTTTTGTAATTCGGAGATTACATGTCTGATGCCAATATCTCAATATTTAATTAATAATAAGTCAATTGAAAGTTCATAAATTGAAATATACTATGCATTGTGGAAAGTATAATATTTAGCTATGTTAATTGTATTTCTTCTGGTTTAAGTTCCAGCTGAATATTTTCAACATCTGGATCATACTGGACAACGCGTTGATCGTTTTGAGAGACCTGAATTGACATTTGGAACATATGAGTTTGTTGCCACAAAAGATTATTGTCGGGTAAGTTTATATTTCAAATAAAATCATTTATTAATTAACTGAATTTAAATACCATGTTATTAGCTAATACATTGTCAGAGTAATTGTCAGAATTGTTATAGCTCATATGTATCATTTCAGATAATTTGATATTTCACTGTTAATGAAAATTCTAAATTTTTCTAGTGGTTGTTTGTTTTTCAGTATTATTGTTTTTTAATTTCAGAATAATACATTCCCTAAACCACCTGCATTAATTTTCCTCATTGACGTTTCATATAACAATATAAAATCTGGAATGGTTCACCTCTTGTGCAAAGAAATGAAAGACATTTTGAAGTTACTGCCCAAGGATGCTGGTGCTAAGCAAAGTGTAATGCGTGTTGGTTTTATCACATACAACAATACTGTACACTTCTATAATATTAAGGTAAGATCAATATTGTATTAGTTCATCATCATCATCATCTTGAACTGCCCAGAAATTAGGCTTTTTGAGCCTGTTTTTATTTATTTATTACAGTATTCTTGGTAGATTATTGTGTTCCTGCTGTTGCTACCTCTTTAGGGGTCTGCCTCTACTGATCCATATTGATTTGAACTTCCAGATCAATTTTGGAACCCTGTTGTTGTTCATTTTCTGTAAATAAATTTTCCATCTCCTTTGAACTGTTCTATCTCTTCTACTAAATATTTTATTTTCAAATTCTTTCAGATGCCTTTATTTCTTAGTCTGCCTCTTCTTGTGATTCCCAAGAGGTGTTTTAGAAATCTCATGTGCCACCAGTAGTTTTTGTTTGTCACTCTTTCATTACCCATGATTCAGAACCATATTGATTCATGATGGTATTCATGTACTTCATCGATAAAGTCTGAACCAATGATCCGATTTTCGATCTGTAAACAGCATTTGACGCCTTTTAAAAATAGAATGAACGCTGCGAAGCCCTTTTCCCAAAAATCTGGCAAAAACTTGAATTTGAAATTGGTGCTCAAACGGCTGAAAAAATTAAAAAATATGGCCTTATAGCGCGATGCCGACATGTTTCCTGAATCCAACGGCGTGACAATTATGCAAATCGGATGAATAGGAGGAGCGTCTTAAAGTGACATTTTGGAAAACCCCCCCCCCCCCCCTTTCAACCTTTGCGTCATCCTCCTTGTTGAGGGCCCTCTCTCGGCACGGCCAACCCCGGCAGCGTGCAGCCAATCCCGGGCCGGGACTCCGTGCAGAGGTCAAACTTGCTAACCCAGGCAGTCGGCTTATGCTTTCGTCACTTTACTTCTCAATATATTTTTCCCCCACATATCAAACTCGTGATGCTGTAATAAAAGCAAATGGTCTCATATCATCTGTAATAGTAGTATAAAACTATTTATATAGTTCAAATATTTCCGTCTTCCTTCGAATACCGTCAACCGTTTGAGTCATTACTCAAAATATCGATTCTGATTTGGAACTGATTTCAAAAAGAAAATTGAACTAATTGTGTAAGTGTCACCAATATTCCACCGCCTCACATCTTATTTTACATATTTTTACTTGATTTTCCGTTATCATTCCACTACCGGAAAGAATGAGCAGATATTGCCCACGAACACGTTTATCCTACGACTCGATTTTTTATCCCAAAACAGCGTTTGTCTCCGTAATAGAATTCACTTTGTGATTCTCTTTTCCCAAGTAAAGTAGCTGAAGCTAATTTTAAAAATGTTTTCGTACTTTTGGATAAATTTGAAAAAGTGGTAAAGTAGCGCGCTGTCATTGTCGAATCAAATTATGCCTCCAGTGAATAAGTTATGAGATGCCTAAGCCAGATGGATGTTGGGCGATGTTTTAATTTTTAATATTAAAATTTTGACATTTATTTATATGTTGTTTTTACAATCCTTGTACCAGTATCAACAGCTCACTACAAAAAATATACATACAATATATGTGCATTAATTTACAACCCTTTGCCAGATGACATTAATCGATTAAATTCTATACAAAAGTTTGAATTCCTAGAAAAATCTTTTCTACTGCACAATTGATTCTATACAATTAGAGGCTGTAACGAGCATCCAAAAGGAAAGTCATTTTAAGAGTGAAATGTTATGTAAAATTTACCATTTGGACTGAATAATTTTAAAGTGCCTGTAACAATTATTGTACGTCAGCTTCTGAATCAATGACCCCCATCTCGATCAGGTTTTCGACTGGTTTCCTGATCTTTGAGCAAATGCTGAGATGGCTCCTTGTTTTACTTCTGGTCATACATGTAACTTCAAATTAAGTCCCGCAAGTTTGGCCTTCTCCTCGTAGCACGTAACACACTGTTTTTAACTGTTTTTAACTGTTTTTGACGTAAATAATAGTAGTTCATGCAATTAGTTTAAAATAAAGCAACAATAAACGGGTTGCCTACTATATTTTTTGGTATAGCAGCATTATACATTTATAAGATAATCGAACTTAATTTTGCGAAACTTCCCTGTGACGACTCTGGTATTTGACATGGTGCGAGTGAACGGTGGTCGGCTGTTCCGTTTAGCTCTACATCCCCCCGATTCTCTCGCTACGATTGGCTGAATGTGTGATGACACAATCATTCGGGACATAAATCTAATACGTCATCATTTGTGCCGTAAAATGCCCGATTATCAACGATTTCTTGCAACAAAAGGTTCTTTTATAATGCTGGAATACAAAAAGATGTTGTCTTTGCTACCAGTCCGATTGATGGGATGATTCAGCGAGGGTGTTTTTTTCCTCTCCAATCAATGGCAGTATGTGCACGTGTAAGACTGGGGGTTTCAAAAATATTTTTGAACGTAGGAATAGGCTGTTCGGAGCAATGACGCCTATTTGTTGGCGCCAGGCCCAGTAAAGCATCGGCTGTGAGTATCCCTTCTTAGCACCTGCAAGCCTTCGCTGGGGCTGGACGTGCACAGAAATTGAATGCAAGAAATAAACGCAATTAAAGAGCTCCGTTGTAATAATATGCTCGACGTATTGGAGAAAAACGAAAGTAAAATGTATATGCTCGTCCTTTTTATAATTCATGAAACCGTTACCGTCACTTCAAAATCTTCTGATTCTCCTACAATTATAACAATTGTGAATCTTCATCGTTTTATGTTAGGCCGAAAATTTTCATTTATTCTGCGCGTCTGATTCTATCTGTCCACCACGGTTGTGAAACCACGATGTAGGTAGTTGTTCCGTGGTACCTAAATGCGACGGACAAAGCCGCAAAAGGGGGACATTTTGCATTTCCGATATTTGGTGATATTTGAAGAGCAACAAAATTTGTTTTTGCGTACTACTGGGCAACAAAGAAAGCGTCAAATTCCCATTAATTATTTTTTATTTATCTTTGTAATTTCTTCGTTTTCGGGTACTTGTGGTGCTAACTTGATGTCCAGTTAGCCATTTGTTTATTGCAGGGTCAAATGAAGAGCGGCATTTTTTGCGTAACAAATTAGCAACAAAAAAATGACAAATTTTGAGGTTTTTTTTTTTCATTTTTTTTTTAAACTGCTGTGCTAATTTTATGGACCTCGTGAGGAGGAGGTCCGGGAATTCCAAATCCGATGCGGCACTGGAACTGTGGTTAAAAATAGACAGCATTGCAAATACCCTTACCAAGTTCACTAATACCAAGTTGTTCACCTTACCAAGTTAGCTCGCTTGCTCGCTGCCCTTTTTCGCATTACACTTCCCGCTCCATCTCCGCTATCGCTACTACTGATCATTCTTGAGCCACCAAGTCACCTCAGTTTATGGGACTTGTTCGAAGGTTGACCAGGTAAAAATCGGAATTATTTGGAAACACAATTTTTCAAGATAAATTCAGTTCAATTCATCTGTTATAGAGGATACGATAACGTCTGCCCCAATGCCAGTAGTGTGATGTGTGAAATAAACTTCTGATGCTACAGAAAGATAAAGACTCTCAAACTAATTCGTTTCCATATTTCGTTGCTCTGGACTGTATTTTCGGTTTTACTCCTCCCTCTTCCCAGCTGTCATCTATTGCCACGTAAAGAAATTTTTCACATTTTTTTCAATTCTTCGTATTGCTAAAGATAGAACCGATTCATGACTTTAAAAATACCCTAGAAATATACATCCTCGTCACACATGTACATTTTCATTGAAAAAATTGAAGAAATTAACTTTTGAGTGTATCTGAAAATGCGGAACTGCGAGCTCAATTTCTCAAAATACTTTTTAATTTTCGAGGAACTTTATGAGTAGAGACCGGATTTTTAAGTAATTACATATTTTTTGTCTTTCTACTTACCGATCTGAAGATTTTAATTTTGGCCAATCGTCGCCGTTCTAACACAATATCAACATTTTTCTTTACATATTTAGTACTATATTACATATTTTGCTATTTTCACAAAATGTATATTTTTTTATTCTATCAATTTTCTTCAGTTGTATGACTCATTTTTATGAAAAGAAGTATTAAAGACACACTTATTTCCTACTGCTTTCTGTTTACTCGAGGTTCTTTACATGAAGACGCTGTAAGATCTCATAGTCCTGTTCGTCTGCATCAGTTACCTCAATGGCGGGAAGTGCACGTATTACACGATAAGTTTTCTGGATACACGAGCTCCCTAGTCCTCACCCAGCGCTGAATAGCACGGCCCGTTGAAATAGTGTGGTTGTACCTGGAAGGGCATGTACCAATTTACAATGCTGCTAACAACCACATCGTACTTTCAAAACAATAGTATTTCTCGTGGCACGTTTTGGATGTGAATTCTCGGCTATCCGGGAGACGCCGCGTCACTGCCCTGAGGAAGCCTGCGAAATGTCAGGCGAAACGTCGGCACCCCAGCCAACGACGCGGCGTCTCCCGGATAGCCGAGAATTCATGGTTTCGAGCCGCGGAAGCTTACGTACACACGTTTTGGATGTGTTTATGCCCACAGTTGGTAGTCCCTTTTAAGCCGTCACACAGAGCCCTTCTCTCCCCGCACCTCCCGCTCCGGAATATCAAGAAAACTTACGCGTGTAGTAAGTGACTGAGATTAGTTTCACTTTCAGGTGTGAAAAGTATCACTGACGCCGCGTCTCATGAACCTAAACCTTAGTTTCCGAGAAACTTTGCCGATTGTTGACATAGGTCGTAGATATCGCCAGCTTGCAGGATGGTTTCTATTGCGTCTAGTCTGGCTGATAAACGACCGTACTGAATAGCAGTAGCTGAAAGTTTTACAACTGATAAGAAAGTTGTATGGTAGAAAGCATGGATCTATTTGTACTCTTTAAATTATGTTTAAAACGTATGTATCACTTTTAAAATATATATCGTATTTTTTTATAAATGTAATTTCGTATTACGTGAATGTTCGTTTTATAATTGTGTATTTTAATATTACATATTTTATCCTATTTTACTTACTGTTCTCATTACGTATTTACGTACATATTTTGACGTTTCATACTACATATTTTTCCGGTTTCTATTTATGAGACATTAATTAAACAAACGCAATAGTGTATACAAGTTGCTGGTAATCTAAGTATTAAGGACGTGAGAGAAGTGTCAGAAAAGTTTATAAGAATAAAAAAAGAACAAAGCAATACGGCGTTTATCCTATCTTATACTGGACAATTAGAAACATCCCTACCAAAATATAGTTGCGCAGGCTTCCGCGGTCGGAGTTTGTGTTGTCTAGGCTATCCGGGACGAGCCGCGTACTGCAGTACGGTCTGAAGGCCACAATACGCTGGGCGAAACGTTAGCAACTATGTCATTGACGCGGCTCGTCCAGGATAGCCTAGACAACACATCCCTATCAAAAGTTTGAAAACAATTTGGAGCCGTTTTTTACTAATTCTGGTTTTTAGAATTTTTTGTGATGCATATATTACACGAAATCTACTAAAATGTTCAACGAAATGTGCATGACGTCAATGAAAGAACTAATTAGGGAAAACAAATTTAATTGATTTCAATCTACTCTTACAACAAATTCGAAGAAAAAAATTGGAGCCATTTTTGAGAAAATGTGAAAGATGTCCTTGGGGCGTCATTTAAAGTATCCTCAGATTTTAAACAATATTTTTCAAACTCGTAAAGCTTTGAGACAGGACAGATCAACCTGTGAGTATTCACTTTCGATAAAATTCTAGGAATGCTTGTGTTTCGGCCGTAGTGGTGTTCATAGATGGGTAGACAGACGGTCGGACGTTTTGAAAAAACTAAACAAAAAACAACCACACCATATCAGTGGGCCCCAAAACATGCATTTCGTTGAAATTTCTAAATCCATTTTCCGCATCATTTCATAACTTTCGCTATACTACATATATTACTCAATATATACGTACGTATACGAAAATATAAAACCAATGCTGTGTCGCGGAAAATAGCGAAAGCATTATCTGACAAATCTCAGTCGGGCCTCATGAGAACCGCGTGTTTGGCTTCCTTGCTCCCAGCCCGCCTCTCTTATCTTTTGCGGAATGCTTTCGTGCCCCTCTGAGCCGGCGCCCCCACGCGCGGTGGCGGCACGGCATCGAGGAGGGGGCATTGTATTTTCCCAAATTTCACTACACGACGCGCCTATTCAGTCGATTTTTAAGATGGATATGGCGTTGGATTCAAGAAGCACCTCGCCATCGCGCTATAAGCCCACATTTTTGAATTTCTTCCCAGATCTATTTTAAAAAAATTCCAAAACTCATTTTACTTTTTTTTTTTTTTTTTTTTTTTTTTTTTTTTTTTTTTTTTTTTTTTTTTTTTTTTTTCCAAATAGGCTTCGTAGCGTAAATTTCATATTAGATGCAAATCCTATGTCGTTTACTGATTGTAAATCAGTCCACTTGTTCCGACATTATTAGTAAAGTAATTTTGGCTTATTTTGATGCTGCTATGTGGTGGCGACAAATTGAACTAGTGTCGGGACATTTAGCCTTAATATCGTGTGTAATTCAGAGAAGCATCCCTCTGCTGTAACAGCTGTTCAGCCACATCTCTTTGAAAAGTGTTTATGTTCGTTTATGGCTTCAGTTAAGACATCATTGTTTCCCATGATTTACAACTGTGTAATTGTATAAAATATAAATATAATATGCAAATCAGGGAACCATGAAATGCTCTCAATCACTGCTCGCCACCTTACAACATAGGAGCTGCAAACATGTGCACCAGTGTGCATCGTACATTCAAGACTTGATTTTAAAATAAACCTAATATTTTCACACAAAAAGTAAATTCTATGTAATAATTATTTTTAAAATTTTTTACAGAAAAGCACATAGCACTATACTTTCTAATTTTAATTATTTCTCGAGGTGCACTATATTTTTGTCAGACAAGGCCATCACAAAAGGAAGCTTTATAACCATTTACAAGTTAGCCAACTGCAAATGGGGGAATGGAGGAAAGACAGTTCAATAGGCTCAAGGACACAACCAATACAGAACCTTCGGTTATGATGCCAGCACTTGCTGTCAAAATGGTCCTTTCTTATAAAAATCACTCTATATATTGCGGAGTTTGTTTTGTTTCTGGAACTAAGTCTCTGCCAAAGTGTCTCTTAATTGTTCCACATATTCTATTGTAGTTATCAAATTGGTTTTCCTTAGTTTGGTTGTATACACTTATGGTATTTCAAAAGTGTGAAAATTTATTACTTGTTCCACTAATTTACCATTTATTACTATTTTGGCTCTCCTTTGTTCGTTGTCTTGTATTGCCATAACTTTTGTTTTCTGAACTGCTATCTTCATGGAATATTCTTGGGCCACTTTTATCAATTTTATCAATTTAAAAAACTGTTCTTTGTAAATTATCTTCAGAATCCATTATGATAGTGTGGTCATCAGTATACAAGATGGTATCTATCTTCTTGTATTTTCTGATCTTTATCCCTTGTCTAACTTTCCTTCTCCTATTTCTCACTAAGTGGTTAATACATATGTTGAAGAGGATGGGGTGATAATCCACATCCTTGCCTTAAGCCACCATTGGTTCTTATTGCAGCTGACCTTTACTCTTCTCTTAACAGTATTTTAATTCTTAAGTTTTTGTAGAGACTGTATTGCATTGAGCAACTGAGTCTATTAACTTGTCTTTAGTGCTTTTACCCTTTTGGAACCCACAGTGCTCTTCTTGCATAAAATTCTCACATATTACATTGAGTCTGTTCCTCAGTAGTTTGCATAAAGCTTAGAAGATATTGATGGCAATGTAATTACCCTATAATTGTCACAATTGTCTTCTTTGAGCCTTTCTTGTGAATGTTAATAACCAAACTCTTGCCACTCTAGTGGAAGTGCTTGTATTAGTTGTTTTATTTTATTTTTATTTTTTATATGTTATATTTGGTAGATTTAGAATAATTTATCAGAGACATTTCATGTAAAGATTAATGTAAAGTTAAAAATGCAATTTCACAAGATAAAACTTGTGTATTTAAATTTACATTTTACAAAATACATTTTAAGATATAGAGGCATATTCAGCCTCTATATTATGACCATCGCAAACATTGGATTTGCATTAAGCCATACAGGTCTGATGTGGCTTAGGATGTATTCTAATGTGTCCATTCTGCTTTGCACAAATGTTAAGGTTTACCACATTGTGTTGTTTCTAAATATTGCTGCCTATTTATGCTCTTCGAAGTCATGAACAGTTATGCATTGATATTAAAGATACAATTGGAGTTTCATTATGCTTGTGGGTATATGCAGATTCATGAGGGTGCATGGATATGTGTGAATGCATGGGTGCACGTGTCTGTGTTGTTGTTTTTTTTTTTTCATTTCTAAATGAATAGCTAAAGTTAAGCCATTTCCTAACAAATATTTTGTTGCAGGGCTGCTTAGCACAACCTCAAATGATGGTTGTTGGAGATGTGCAAGACATGTTCATGCCGTTGTTGGAAGGTTTTCTGTGTGATCCATCTGAATCAGAAGCTGTTATTGATAGTTTAATGGAACAAATTCCTGCAATGTTTGCTGATACGAGGGAAACTGAAACTGTTCTTGCTCCTGCCATTCAGGCAGGCTTGGAAGCTCTTAAGGTTTGAACATTTATAAAATAAAAAAATGAGGGTATGTGTATCATACCAAAACTATTTCTCAACTTAGTGTACTGAAATGAATTATTTAGGTATTGTAATGATTGGGAAGAAAAGTAACAATTTAGATACTAAAAAGTTTTAAGATTTTACAAACATCAGTGACGTAAAAGGATATTCATAAATAGTGGTATAGCAATGTCCAGACCAATGTTCCTTGGTGAGATTGCGTGGTATTGCCCATCTCTGTCCCTGCAGTCACAGAGTAGGTAAAACTGAAGAATTCCTCTTTTTGGCATTTTCATTTAAAATGTAGGCTTTAATTCCTTACCATTTGTCACTACCTGTTATATGGACCGGAGAATTGTGTGTGTTGGAAAACGTTTTAACCTGCTGTCACTGCTTTTATGCTAAAATGACATTTTAAAACAATTTGTACCCTCTTGCTTTCTTTACCAGTCTTAAGGAGCTGCTACTATATAGCACATACTTTCTCATTTTATTTGTAACCATTATGTACAATGAAAATAATATTGTGAATCATTTACTTTAGCTATAGTCATTTCAGGACAGCAAACAATTTCTTTGATACAGATCAACTGTTTTAGAATCTATCAATCTGCATGTTTTTTTCTTCTCCCAGCCAAACGTGCTGGTGCACTAGCTGGTAGACTTGAAAGAGTCTGTTTAGTTAACCTTCTAAATTATGAACTTGAATTTTACAATCAAAACCAATATTTTTTTTTTTTTATACAACAATGTGTAGTTGGGGAAAAGAGAAAGAAAAAAATTAAAGTACAGAAAAAGAGATGATAACAATATCATGTTAACATTCTTTAGTCTTGTAAGTACTTCATTTTTGATGTTTTATTTTACTGTTGTAGGCCTCTGAATGTGCAGGAAAACTCCTTGTTTTCCATTCATCATTGCCCATTGCTGAAGCACCTGGGAAGCTTAAGAACAGAGACGAAAGAAAACTTTTGGCCACTGAGAAAGAAAAAACTGTACTTGGTAATGTGAATTTAATTTTTAATTGTGTAATGAATTTTTTTTATTGTCTTATCTTACACTTTTCTATTGTCATTGCAATAATTTCTATTACGTGGGAACGAATATTTCTTATCACATTTTGCCAAAAAAATTGTTGCTGCCTTTATTAATAATTCAACTTAATGTAGAAAAAGAGTTGGATGAGGGATTCCAAAGTTAAAAGAAATGTGCACGGATTGAACTCTTGCGCTAAACATCACACCAATTAAATATTACATGAATCTTAAGAGTTAGAGAATTTTGTAAATCGTAAGAGTTAAAGATTTCTGTAAATCGTAAGAGTTAAAGATTTCTGTAAATCGTAAGAGTTAAAGATTTCTGTAAATCGTCAGAGTTAATGGTTTCTGTAAATTGTCAGAGTTAATGGTTCTTCTGTAATTGTAGGTTAATGTTTTCTGGTACCTGTCAGAGTAATGTTCTGTAATATTGTCAGAGTTAAATGGTTTCTGCTAACTTCTCGCAAGTTAAATCGGTTCTATGTAAATGTCAGAGTTAATTGTTTTGTACATTGCACGAGTTTTAATCGGTTCTGTTAACACAGCTGTAGAGTTAATGTGTTTGTAATTGTCAGAAGTTAATGTTTCTTCTCTGTAAAATTGTAGAGTTAAATGGTTTCTGTAAATTGTAAGTTAATGGTTTCTGTAATGTCCAGAGTTAATGGTTTTTTTGTAAATTGTCAGGAGCTTAATTGGTTTCTGTAAATCTGTCAGAGTTAATGTTTTGTAAAGTCGTAAAGTTTTGATAATACAGCATTTAATTACTACGGTAGGATTTTTTCTCAATAATAACTTTTTTGATATTAGGCTGTTGTAAGGGTTTTTCTTTTATTTGCAGACCCCACAAGTTATACTTACATAACCTTGGTCAAGATTGTGTGTGGGCTCGATGCTAGTGTAGACTTTGTTTATTTCAACAATTCGTACATTGATATTCTAATCTGGACAAGTTTGGGTTCGTTACTGGAGGTGAAATTTTAATACAATATTTCAAAGTCGGATATACTCAAGAAATGTTGTTCACATGTACATAGTTAAGATTTCTCTATCTACATATAAGAGATCTGAAATAATGTCGAATTGATTTGTTTTTATATGTAGAGTCCTTATTATATAGTGTGATGTAAGGATAAACACGTATTTGCATATGTTTTATAGCGTGGATTTGTTGGTTCTGTCTTCTTATATATAATATCAATATTCTTAGCACATATAATTAGTTGTAGTCTGTGTTGAATTGTTTATATAAATAGTTGGAGTAATTGATACGTTGTAATTAAATGAATTAATCTAATGGGGTTATAGGTAGATTTATTTCCAATCTTGATCGAAATAATTATGTATATATAATATTAGTAATATCATTTGTGTAGAACACTTGAAAGTCATACAGATATACAAATATGATTTTTATATCAACTCTCCACAGGCACATTGTTTTTAATATTATCATCTCATCATTTATTATTAGCTTCTTATTTCTAATATGGTTCTAAATTGGATCAGATGTATAGTTTTTTTTATTGCAATATGCAAATTCCCTATACTGAATAGTTATGCATCTATCTTGAACATATTTTCTACTTGGCTGTATAAAATTAAGTTTGTGTATCATATATGATTGTATATTTCTATCTAAAAGTATGTATTCTTCTTGAAGAATATTTTCATTATATTATAGTCATTTTAAGTTTATTATTTTAGGAGAATAGTTGATATTCTTATTTTATGATCATTATGTTAATGCTACTAGTGGTAATAATAATTAATTTGTATTGCAAAGAGTTACGTAGGTAGAATGGGAATTCAGGGTTCTATGCTAATAAGCTTCGAGAGCATCAATGCAAGAATATTATTAATATGATCAAGTTCTGTTATTTTCTCAAATCAAATTTAGACCATTTGATCTATAAAGTGACTAGAACCAGGTTTTGAGCAGAATAATCCAATATATAACGTGGACTGTTCGCATCATGCATGTCATTGATTTCTGCTATTGTGTAAGTTCTTTTCTGATGTTCTGAATCTTAATTCAGCTTTAGTATTTGGCGCATTAGTTGGCTTCCATTGTACTATTGATTTGATTAACGTTGACGTTGGCATGAGTAATGTGATAAGTAATGTAGGTGATTAATTATACTCTTGCATTTAACAGAAAACTTATACACAAGAGATTCTACGAGGCTTACTCAAACTGTGTACGATTGCACATGTGCGAATTTGCACTTCATCATTGAGCAAAGGATTTACATATTTGATAGCATCTAATCATCTCAGCATTGAAACACCAATGTTCAATATGAAAAGATCATATGAATGTGTCTTTTCTAATGTGCATATTGTTAATAATTAAGAAAAATGATAAGGTGTACAATTTGTGCGAATTTATAAGTGTAACTATCTTTCTTGTGACAACATATATATCGGTAATTGAGAATGATAATATATAGTTCGGGATATGAAGATGAAATCTAGAATGAAATAATATATATGCCAGTGGAAAGATAATGAAGAGTATTGTAGGGAGAGAATAAAGAATAGGCCATCCAAATTTCCTTTATTAAATAGCAAATATACCTCTTACAATCTATTGGGACTTGAATTGATTGAAATTAATGCCTTATTTTATCGTGGCGAGGCTCAGGCCATGAGGCTCGCTCTTCCATGTCACCCACAATGTTGGTGTGAGAATCAGGAACGTCACTAGCATTCCTTAATGAACACCCGCGAATGCTCTGCAACTCATTTATCGTGCATGTGTTTAGCTGTTATTCTATTGCTATGGTCTTATTCCTTCTAGATACTAGCTTTTTAGAAATTGCCGTTAATTTGTTTTTTTGATTAGACATTAGGCTGTGGATTATTAGAATCTAGTTGGGGTTTGTTTTTTTCTGCTAGTCATACGGCACATGTTGTTTTGAGCACATCTCAAAGAATTCGTGTGAACATGTTACCTAGAACCAATTTGTGATTTAAGTACATTGCGGGTGTCTGTTCTCAAGGTACCGCTTGCTGTACACTTAGTTCAGATATGTGGCTAGCACAAAAACAAAATAGTGTTTAAAGAATGTAGATATTGTAAGGCATTTTCTTAAATTATTAATAGCTCTGATTTAGCTACTACACTCAGATGCTCAACTTCAGACTTCGAACCTTTACTCCTGAACAAGTTTATTATGCTTTCACTTGCAGAATGAGAAGCAAAAGTTGTTTCAAAAAACGTCGAGTGTGAAGTGAATCCCATGCCTCCCAGCAACATCACTTAGCGCTTACAAAAGCTTTTTTTTTTCTCTTTTAACGAGGACTAAAATGACGTGGTGTTTTGAATAAAGAATAAAAATAACAACACATCTCTTATTTCTTTACAACTTACTAATTCGCGCTATATATTGTTATTGTATTCTGTACAAGTAATATCTACTAGAACTCTATAAAATAATATTTAATGAATAGATGATTTCCTATTTAATATTTAGTTCCATAATCAATCCTGCGAGATTCCAATACAGCAAGTAAAATTATCATGACCGAGACTTGTTCTTGTCTTACCCTTTTGTATCGAATTTTTTTCTTGATCAATACTAAGGTTGATACTCTAATGCTTAGAACCATCACTAAGGTTGGTTGAGTCGCACGAGTCACAAGTTTCGTAGACATAGGTTCTGCTCTAATATAGGTACTTAGCTTGATCTTCTATAATAAATATTCTATTAGATCTATGAGATTACCAGTGATGCAATAAGCGTCAAAAGTGGCTACGTGAATCTCACATGACTATAGCATTGGAGCAGATCAAAGTCTTACTTTGTGAGACTATAGACAAATCTTTTCTTCATGAGTCAAGCTTGTTGTGTTCAATGATATGCAGCTCCATACGCATAGTCATATCTACATGAATTTCATACAGCAAGGCTGTCAGAGTACTCAGCTTTCCAACAGAAACATGACAAAAGCAACACAAATATCTATGATTCGGCATGGTGCCTAATATCGCTTTGCTTTTCATCAAGGAACGCTCTGTGAACTTCTGGATGTCTTTAACATCTTAACACAAAAATACACAAATGATAGTAGAAAGAGACAAGCTGAACTAAGAGATATAAAATGAAGTCGGTGTACGCGACAGAGCCTAAATAAAAATAATTCAAAAAATTCATTTTTTTAAAAAGCAGGTTCGCATTTTAAATTCTAAACAATCTTCAAGTTCTTTCTGAAAGCTAGTTTGAGAAGTAAATTGTTACATAGATATCCAGAATCTATTTTCTACTTTCTTATCTTTCATCAATTTATCATATCTTTTCACTACATATATCTTTTGACTTTCGTGCAACTTGTGCTAATCATCTTCTTTTATTGCTCTACATTTACTGCGCCCGACACATTGATGAATAGAGAGCAACATTTTTAACAAGTGAATCTATATTAAATTTTGAAATATACTATTCTTCCACTACGAGTGAATTGTATTGCTATACTGTTGATCTATCAATAACTTCGCTTCTGCTAGTGGAATAGCTGTTCTCATTGGAACAAAATATATGGTTCAACTGTGGAGATCAAGAAACTAATATTCATTAACGTGCTATTTCTTTTGCACTCATAGTATGAGACGCTTAGGTACCATATCCTTGTAGTTGTTCAGAACTTGATGAATAATGAAACAGACATGCCACAGAGGAATTTCACGTTTGCTTTTCTTGAATCCTTACTTTTGTGGTGTATGCAGCATTGTATTTCACTTCCTCTCACGCTATTTATAATTTGACACATTCAATAAAATTATAATGAGACAGGCTATACAATAGGTCTATAATATCAATATATAAGATAGGCACTGGGATAAACGAGGGCATGAGACTATGGACTGACGTAAATTGTAATCTTAATCAAATAAGTCAGTCCTGCAATATTTTTTTATTCATCATACATTATCTTGTCAAATGCTAGATTAAGCAATTACTTGTT